CATTTGTCCGTTTAGTTTCGTGCGAAGGTGAGAAAGGAAAAGCCTCTAGACGCATTTGAGAAAATGAAAGTTCAAAGCAGGCAGGGTGGCAATGAGGACAGAGCCACGGAATTCCCCCCTCTTCTTCCCAACGTGCTCTCGTCCCTGCCCCATCTTGCACGGAATGCAGAGTCATAGCATGTTAAGGATTGGAAGGGGCCTCAGGAACTCTCTTGTCCCATCGCCCCTGCCCTGTCCCTGGCACGGACGCTTCCCACTGGAGCAGGTTGCTCAAGGCCTTATCCAACTTGGCCTTGAAAACTGCCAGGGCCGGGCATCCACAGCTTCTCTGGGCAACGTGTTCCACTGTCTCACCACCCTCACAGTAAAGAATTTTGTCCTAATAGATAACTGAAATTTCCCCCTCTTTCAATTTGTTCTCATTAACCCTTGTCATTCCAAGACATCACTACCACTACAGTTTCTGACAGGAGCTTTATGTCATTTGTGGGTGTTTCTGTGTGTTAGGTCTTGTTTCAGCGGGGAACATGCTTTCACAATGCCAAGGAAGCATAAAACAAGTCCTGTGACATTGGCCTGGGTGCTCAATAAAACTGTAGTGGATTCAGTGTGGGGATGAGCTTGTGGAAGAGTCTCTGTCAGAGCTGCCCACCTCCACAGGACTTGGATTCATCTGGAGTTGCTTTAATGTGTGTTTTGCTGTAAATGGTGCTCGGACTGCTTGGGGTTGAGTTTTCCAGCTGGCACCAGCTGTGTGCCAGCCAGGACTCACTGGGTACTTGCACTGACATCTTGAGACTTCATCTGGAAGCTGAGTTCTGCCACTGGTAGTGCTGCAGTCAAATTCTACTGACCCTGACTGGAGAAACCAGCAAGGAGTTCACGTTACCACCCGAGGCTTTGCAGCAGGTAACCTGCTGATGTCTGCTTGTCTGTCGGTTTCTCCGTCCTCTCAGCAGTGGAGTTCAGCCATGTTGTCCTTGTCAAAGACTAATAGCGTTAGTGACATTTCTACCAGTTTTTCAAAACTTTTCAGCAGACCTGAAATTGGCTAACCGTGTTAGATAAGAGGTAAAAAAGAGATTTATGTTTTCCTTGTTCTGCATAAAAATCTTTAAAATGTCAGCCGGCTTGGTAAGGAGAGTGAGACTTTTCACTTCAAGAGATAAACTTCAGAGTAAAAGTTTGTTTCTATGACACAGCTAAAAGGGAATTAACAGTGGGAAATTAGTCTTTAAGAGCAGCCCAAATTATCAGGAGGGAAGGAATTTAAATAAGGGTAACATTTTAATTGGCTCTGTTTTCCAGAGTTTCATCTATTTTGCATAAAACTGGCTAGAAAATAGCTGCTTTAAAACGAGTCTTGTGTTTCATGTATATACACTATTCCAGGTACTTGAATAATATGTTTAAAAGGACACAACATGAGAAAAAATGGCCTGACTTAACAATATAGATTTCAGCAAAGTCAGATTAGTGATTTATGTTTTCAGCTGTCTATAAAAACATGTGGTAATCAGCATTACTTTTTTTTCTATTCTAGTTTATTCCTCTCATGACAGTTCAAAAAATTAGCAAAAGGGGGAAAAAAGATGAAAAAGCTGGTGTTATGGGTACATTATAAAATTACTAATAAGGTTCCTTAAAAATAAACTTTATAAAATTACTTTAGGTTTCTCAGCTGACAGTGATTGTGGTAAGTTTCAGTTCAGAGGATGCCCACCTTCTGTAGGCCTAAAGGCTGCCTGAGGAAAGATGCAAGAATTTAGCTCCAATGCAGTATCAGTCATTATCTGCTCTGACAGAATCAGAAACACATTTTTTACCATAATAGAGGTTGTAGTCTTAGAATTCAAAAAATGCAGCTTAGGATACTCCTTTCATCCCATTCAGGATAGCCTGCCTTACAATGCTATGCCCTAGACTTGAATGGGGATTTTCAGCTTGGTTTTCAGGAACAGCTGCAACAATAAGGCACCTTTTTAGCTGCAGTGCAGCACAGGTGTACTTTAAAGCTAAAGTCCTGTAGTAGCAATAAGATCATTAGCAAATTGACTCATGTAGTTTCAAGACTTTCTTCCCACTTTCACCTGCTGAAAAATGTTCACCTCCTGTTTGAAAAGTCTTTCCTTGTCACTAGAGGACACTATTGAACAGAAAATGCTGCACTTGAGCAGTCAGATGAGAGATTGCCTGTTCCCAAATGCCAGAAACTCAGAGAGAAATTCAATTTTCAGGAACTGATTTTAACCCAA